TTTTATTCTGAATATTACTTGGATGGTTTCACTCACCAAGGGGAGACAGTGGTGGAAATTCCCTTTTTTCGGTCCCGGGGGGGGGGGCAAAGCTTCCTAAATTTCCGACAAAACTTTCAAATTTTTGACAACCCCCCCCCCCCATTTTCATGCGAAAAGGCTGTTTTTATTCCTCTTTTAGGTCAAAATTTCCAAAACTTTGTCATTTCCCCCCTCCCACCGAGATTTCCGCCACTGAGGGGAGAGTACTGGCACTAGCCATGGCATGCAGCCGAAAATGTAGTTTACATTTGTAATAAAATTTTACTTTGAGTCGTGGTGGACTGTTTAATTTGTTCTATAAGTATATTCATGAACCTATATCATAATAATACCAAAAACCTTCAACTTCAAAAACCAATTGATATCGAAGGAACTATACTCAGTTCCAGTTATCAGATACTCGAACCGACCTGACTACGTAGCTCAGTTGACAGAGCATTGGGCTAGTATTCCAAAAGTCGTAGGTTCGATTCCCACCGTGGCCAGGCATATTTTTCAAGCTTGCCCGGTGTGGATATGCACTCAGAGTAACATCGCAAGCATCATATTCACCTGAGTACATTACACCAACACAGAAAAACCGATCTTTACTAGATTACATTTTTTATCGAAGGAACTAGATTCTGTTCCAAAATATCACATACTCGAACCGACCTGACCACGTAGCTCAGTTGGCAGAGCATTTGGCTAGTGTTACAAAGGTCGTAGGTTCGATTCCCACTTTGGTCAGGCATATTTTTCAAGCTTGCCCGGTGTGGATATGCACTCAGAGTAACAATGTCACAAACATCATATTCATCTGAGTACGTAACACCAACACAGAAAAACCTCATTACCTTAGTATATATATGCAAACTTGTGGTTCATGCTCGACAATGGACTCTCTAACTCAGGTGGTTGGAGTGCTGCACAGGAATCGCAGGGCCATGCACAGGTTCAATTCCTACAAGAGGGCTTATTGTTGAACACGCCTGGATTCTGGTTAAGTCTTAAAATGTATAAAATTTAGACTCAAAATTTCCATCTTCAAACAACCCTGGAAAATATAATAAATATACCATACTAGTCTAGCGAATTATACATCATCCGAACATGCCCTTAGTAACACATACAAGTGCAGGCCTGCACTGGCTGCAGCTTGCTACACTTTGAGTTAGAGGGAATAAAATACAGAATAGAATATACAATTACTTTATGGTTTCCGTGTTTGGATGGCCTGATCCAAACACGCGGGAATGTTGCGAGAGTTAAGAAAAGCGAGCGAAATCACGAGCCGAAGGCGAGTGATTTTGCCC